CCCCGCTCCGCCCCGCCCGCCGCCGCGCCGCGCCGCCGCCCGATGATTATTAAGTAATAATGAATTAACAAATAATTAATTACCCCACCCGCCGCCGCGCCGCCCCGCCCTGCGCCGCCCGCTGCCTCGCCGCGCCGCCGCCTCGCGCTGCCCGCCGCCGCGCCGCTCCGCCGCCCGAGGATTAATATTTAAAAATTATTACCCGATTAATAACGTGTGTGTGTTTGTGTGTGTGTGTCTGTGTGTTTGCCTGATGGCAGGGAAGTCCAAGGCAGCGGCGAGCGGCAGGTGGCGTCGGCGACGTACTCAGGACACGATGGCGAAGCCCACAGCGCAGCATGCGCGGCAGCAGCTCGCCGCGCGGCGGCCCGCGTACTCGACCCCTAAATAAACTCAAAGTCCACCACAGCCTCCAGCCACCGCCTCCACCCTCGAGCCGCCACCGCTGCCGCTCTCGACGCCGCCCACCGCGTCAGATTCCAGCGACGCGCGCGGTGAGCCGAGTCGCAGAGCCGCGCCGCACCAGCAGCAGCATCAGCACCATCAGCACCAGCAGCAGCAGCAGCAGCAGCACCAGAGAAAGAAGAGCGCCTGCCGCTCTCACGCAGCCCGCAATCCGCCTGCCGTGCGCGATCGACGCTCGCAGACCTCCGCGTAGAGCACCGCGCAGTCTCCTCGATGACCAACGCAGTCCAATCCAGCAGTGCAGGATGATGTACAGCAGTGCAGCATGAGGCGCCCGCAGAAGCGCTCGCAGAGCGGCGCCCAGCACTGCGCACGCCACGCCGCGGATGGTCGTGCGAGCGCAGTGCGCGTCGGCGGCGAGCCGCGGCGCCAGCCGTCGCTCGAGAGAGCGGCGCCGCTGCGAGCGCGCAGCAGCCGCCGCGGCAGAGACGAGCCGCGGCGACGGCCGCAACTTATAACTGCCATTGGCGGTTAGAGGGAGAGCACATCACTCAAGAGACAGCAAGCGAGAAAAAAGAAAAAAACATCGCGCATGAGAGTGGGTGGGCGACCCGTACGACAGACCAAGGCCCAATCACCCGCCCTCGACTGCTGCGCCCCCGGATGACTGGCGGCACGCAAGGATGGAGAGGAGGGACGGCGGGCAGGCGCGCCTGCGAGGGAGGGGCGGGGAGGGGTCCGGGAAGGGGCGGCGAGGGAGGGAGGAGGGACGGCGGGCGGGCGCGCCTGCGAGGGAGGGGCGGGGAGGGGTCTGGGAAGGGGCGGCGGGGGCGGCGAGGGAGGGAGGAGGGACGGCGGGCGGGCGCGCCTGCGAGGGAGGGGCGGGGAGGGGTCCGGGAAGGGGCGGCGAGGGAGGGAGGAGGGACGGCGGGCAGGCGCGCCTGCGAGGGAGGGGCGGGGAGGGGTCCGGGAAGGGGCGGCGAGGGAGGAAGGAGGGACGGCGGGCGGGCGCGCCTGCGAGGGAGGGGCGCGGAGGGGTCTGGGAAAGGGCGGCGGGGGCGGCGAGGAAGGAAGGAGGGACGCCGGGCCGGCCCGCCCTGCAAGGAGGGGCGGGGAGGGGTCTGGGAAGGGTCGGCGAGGGAAGGAGGAAGGACGGCGGGCAGGCCCCCCCTTCAAGGGAGGGGCCGGGGAGGGG